GTATGATGTAAAGTTCACTTAAAGAAAACTTATGAGTATACTTGCAGTATAAGATACTGAGACTATAATTCAAAGTGTACTAAACATGCTACAAGTATATAATTAGTAAACTATCAGTATACCTATAAGTTCACTTTTAGTATAGTTGCAGTACAAACTAAAAGCATAGGTGTAAACTAGTTGTGTACTCAAAATTTACTACTGTTATACTTAAAAGTATACTTTTATATACTAGAAAGTGGGCCAATTTAGTCCCAAATAGTATTGAAATAGTACACTTACAAGTATACTACTAGTACTATGATATTTGTATACTTACTACATAATGTATACTTAAAAATATACTTGAACTTTTCTTAAGTATACTTAATAAAATAAACTTGAAGTATACTACTTTTTGGTAAGGGTGGTAAACAGAGACTATACATTTTGAGTTCGCATTTTCCCTAATAGCAAAAGAAAGAAAAAATCCATTATAGTGTATCTATGACTTTCTAAAAGTGAAAAAAAAATACAGAGAGATTGATGATGCTGGTCAGAAGAGAGATGTCAAATTTGCAGTTGGAAACACCATTAGAAACACTAATGCGGCAACCGGTTTTCTGCATGAAAATACAAAGCATTCTAAATGTACATTTTTTAAAAATGAAAGTATAAAAAAATTGCTACATTTACGATGTGAATAACTGTTGAAATGCATCATAACAGTCTGTGAAAAGAGCAAAGAGAACATAGACCAACGTGTTTAGAACAATGTGTTCCATAAACAGAGTCTCAAGGACTTGTTGCATTTACATACACAATCTGCTCTTCAGACTAAGTTTGTTCTGATAGGTCAGCATAAACTTCCAAACAACAGTTCATAGTGTGCATAAAAAAATTCAGCAGAAGAAAATATCAGAGCCACTGCAATAAAAGAGCACACTCGGTCTATCTGTCTCGCTGTCGACCGGTCAATCTGTCTGTCTTTCTGCTGTTCTATATGCTCGTCTATGAGTCTGTCTGTCTCTTTCTGTTTGTCTGTCTATCCTAGTGAAAAATAAATATACTAATATGTAGTTTAAATACATTTATTTCATGCTAAGTATACTACAAATACACTTACATATTTATGTACTTAATAAAAATACCCTGCCTGTTCCTTATATGTACATTTAATTTTTCCGGCCTCTTATTGCTACCTGTCCCACCTTTTTTGGAATGTGTAGCTCTCATGAAATCCAAAATGAGCCAATATTTGGCATGACATTTCAAAATGTCTCACTTTCAACATTTGATATGTTATCTATATTCTATTGTGAATAAAATATAAGTTTATGAGATTTGTAAATTATTCCATTCCTTTTTTACTCACAATTTGTACAGTGTCCCAACTTTTTTGGAATTGGGTTTGTACTTTTAGCATACTAAACTGGTGTAAGTCTGCTAAATTGGAACAACTAATTTTGTATTTAATGCACTTTAATTGGTGGAAGTATGGCTGAAGTCCAACTAAAGATATACTGAATGATTGTGCTAAAGAGGAACCACTGCAAGTATAATTTACACTTTAAATATATTGCATTTAAAGACTGACATTATTCAAAAATCATACAATCCTCATCAAAACTGACATTAAAACACATTTTAGGCTTAATATTAAGAAATGTGCATTGTGCACATGTAGTACTCCAAATAAAGTTTAATTATAATTTTTATATCAGTAAGTCTTGAGCGATATGTCAGTAAATATTTTAATAGATTTGAATAGACTTAGTATGAACTAATTTAAATATATTACTTTTTTATCTATCTGTCTGTTTGTCAATCTGTCTGTCTAATAATAATCATACAGCTGAAAGCTTCTACAATATTTCCTTAAAGTTCAACAAGATTTAAAACACTTATAAACTGATTGGATTTTCCATTTACTCTCATGAATTCATCATCATTAACATCTTTCGAAAGAAATCTCACTAGCTTTCTAAAAGATTTACTTTTGCATATTTAAATGCAAATGAGCGGATCGTTTTGTACTGTGTTATCAGCACTATTAGGAAACAATAATGTGAACTCCTTTTGAAAGTGCATTGCTCTGAACTCAGCAGTGAGCTTCTATCATGACTGTATTAACTGATTGTGCCATTGATCTTTGCAATAGACATGTTAATGAGTTTTTTATGCCTTTATCCTCCTATCTATCACTCTTTTGTGATATGATTTACACTGAGTCTATACATTACCCTTTGTTGAAGTTGGAAAAACTGCTGAGCAATTTAAAATCCTGGGAATGGTTATTACTAAGGACAAAGTGTAGTTGGCTTCCCATTTGCTTAAAGCATTATGTGGATGATGTAACTTTGTGGTTTAGCCAATGGCCAGCATTCTGCTTATCAAACTACAGTAGATAAAATAAATAAGTGTCACAGGAAGAGAGAGTGAGGCAGGGCTGCTGGCTGTGCACTCAGTTACAGTCAAAATGAAGAATAAATCTACCAATCTGCGTGTGCGGCTCCCTGCGTTAATTTTTGCATTGGAGGTCATGATTGTGGTTCTCTATGCAGTCTTTGTGACATACGAAGATGATGCTAATGCACTTGTACAGAACAATAAGACGCGGCCAATGGAGAACTCTTTGTATCAGAACTATCCATTTTTTGCTGACATTCAGGTGATGATATTTCTCGGATTCGGCTGCCTCCTGGCCTTTTTCCGCCGCTATGGTTTTGGTGGAATGGTGTTTAATTTCCTAATCGCCACATTTACCATTCAGTGGGCCATTCTGGTGCAGGGCTTCTTTCAGTTCTACTATGATGGGAAGATTCATCTTGGTGTGCTGAATCTGATCAATGCTGAGTTTGCCTGTGCTGTCGTGCTCATCTCTTTTGGAGCAGTGTTGGGAAAGACGAGCCCTGTGCAACTCCTGGTAAGTGTATTATTTTTGCAGCAGGTGGCTTGAAATTAGATATTGAATCTACAAAAGATGCTTTGCCTTATTTTCCATTGTCAAATGACTGCAACATTGAAAAGGTACGGTGGAATGATGTGTTGAACATTAACAACAATCTGTTATCTATATTCTTTCACAAAAAGTACGAGATAACGACTTCACCTGTTATACTGTATGTGTGAGATGAAGATCTGCCATGCACCAATGTTTTCTCTTAAGCAATGCAAGACTGTCATGAAATCTTTTGTATGTTTCTATAAACTCTATAAAAAGTTTATATCGTAAATTCACTACCTACTGCCAAAAGCATCTTCCTTCTAAGACAGCATCCCAACCGGAGCTCGTTTTTAATCGAATGGTAATTGCAATTCCATGAACATTATTATAGTTTGAATTTAAATGCAATTAGCTGCACTTTAGAGTTTTGACTCACTTTTATATGTAATTTTAGGATTATTTCTATTGTATTTGAAAAATGGTTAAAATGTATTTTCAAATATCTTTAAAAAGCATTTATGGTCAATTAAAATATACTATATATTTATATAACAAGTCTTTTATTTCATATATATAATTTGCTTAAAAATATATACTTTCAAGATGCGAAGTGCACTAGGCTATAAGTGCACATTTAATACAATTAAGTGCAATTTTTCACAAGGGTAAGCAAACAGCATGATTCTCTAATGCCAAATTGACACTGCAAAGGTGGAACAGAAGCCCTTCCATTTAATGCTGCTCAGAGGTGGCATAAATGGATTTACACAGCAATTTGTACTGCATACTAGGGGCTGGTGTGCATCGGAGCAGGAATAATTTAGTCTGACTGTTATGCTGCATTGTGTCTTTACACAGAATTTTGAACAGTCACAGAGCAGCCTTGTCTTAGCTGATTAAAAAAAATGTCCTAACATAAAAATACACAAATGTTTGGTAAAACAATGCATTTTATTTACACTACTTTTACCATTTCACTGAGATTTCTCACTATAGATTGAAATGCACATTTATTTATTTTCACTAAGCTTGGCACAATATGGTCTGAGAGATTGTATTCTCCACAGTCAATACAAGCAGTGCTGCCTTTGAATTTGGTTAAATGATGCATCCTAAGAAACAAAATAATTAAGACACACACTTCTTGTAACTTCTGAAGCCTTAAATGCTACCTACTTAGGCAGCACACGAAGTTCTATAATGGCTCAACTGTGTGACTATTATGCATTTGTGAGCACATTTACATCATCAAGATCAATCACTTTATTAGTAGTATACCTCATTTGTAAGTTATAAAAGGCTTGGATCACACATCCTCATTCTACATATTGTGTATTGTGCAGATCATGGCCTTGCTGGAGATCCCTGTGTTTGGTGTCACAGAATGGGCTGTAGTGAAATACCTAAAAATCAACGATGCCGGTGGCTCGATCCTCATCCACATTTTTGCCTGCTACTTCGGACTGGGTGTCACCTTTGTCCTGTACAGGCCCAGCCTAAACGAGGGACACCCAAAAGAGTCGACAAGTTACCAATCGGATCTGCTATCAGTAATGGGAACCCTGTTTCTCTGGGTGTTCTGGCCCTCTTTCAACTCAGCGCTGACCTTCAAGGGTGACGACCAGCACCGAGCCGTTCTCCACACGTTCATAGGTCTCAGTGCCTCCACAATCACCGCCTTCGCCCTGTCCAGCATGCTCAGCAAGAACGGCAAGATCAGCATGGCCGATGTGCAGAACGTGACACTGGCTGGTGGCGTTACGGTCGGTGCTTCAGTGGACATGATGATTTCGCCTGCTGCTGCTTATGTGCTGGGCATCCTGGGATGCATTGCGTGCATGCTGGGGTATAAATACTTGAGCCCGTTCTTGGCGCGCCGGCTGCGGTTGCAGGATCAGTGCGGCATACACAACTTGCACGGCCTGACGGGACTCATTTCCAGCCTAGCGGGAATCTGCGCCATCCTGCTGGCGACCGAGGAAACATACGGCCCCAGTCTCTACCAGACCTTCTCTCATCGGGCCCCTCCAGAGGGAGACCCTCTGCTAGCAGAGTTGCAGGAATTGATCCCAGATCTGGAAGCGGGATTGGGTCGGACCGCACGGGAACAAGCCCTCTTTCAGGTGGCTGCCGTGTTTGGGACTATTGCGGTGGCGGCAGTCGGGGGTTTGCTGACTGGTGTGGTGCTCAAGTTACCGTATCTGGCTTCCCCCAGCAATGACAAATGCTTTGATGATGAGCTTTTCTTTAATGTTCCTCCAGATTACAACTGCGTAAATGGTCCGCAGGACGTAGCCTATGGTCCTATGTTCTCAGAGACACAAACAAAACTGATGCTGACTGAAGAATGAAAAAGACTGTGCATTAAGTAAGAGGAATAAATGATAATGTAGGACTGCTGTGAACTTCCGAACTGAGTACTGTGTAACTTGCTAACTGTGATTGTATTTACCCAAAAAATTGTTTATTTTAATATTTAATGGGATCAGGTTTGTATACTGTGTATCAAAATATAAAAAGTGTATGATTTTGATAAAATGTTGTATTTGTAGAATCTTGTAAATTAAAAAGTAATGCGTTACTTTACTAGTTACTTGAAAAAAGTAATCTGATTACGTAACTCGCGCTACTTGTAATGCGTTACTCCCAACACTGATCGGAGTTATATTACAAATTGTCCTGTTATTGTTTTTTTTATAAATTTTTGTTATACTATTTTATAACTACTGTTTACAACAGTAAAAGAACCAAAAACCCGAGAAGACATTGAGCAAAGAAATATAACAAACAATAGGGTAAAAAAATGACAAAGTATTTCCATGTCTTCCACCTTTTTTATGTTGGCTACGGAAATCACTCTTTCTTTTTCCCGTTCTCTCTCACAGACACGCACTCGCGCACACACGCGGAGAAGCGACCAGAAACTTGTTGTCAGTGCTGCCCAGCGAATTTATCAATAAAATAGTTTTGCAGCTGAAAAGCTACATGACATTTCTCAGTAAGGAGGTTCTTGAAGCAGTTTAACTTAAAGGGGTCATATGATGCGATTTCAATTTTTCCTTTCTCTTTGGAGTGTTACAAGCTCTTGGTGCATAAAGAAGATCTGTAAAGTTGCAAAGACTAAAGTCTCAAATCCAAAGAGATATTCTTTATAAAAGTTAAGAGTTAACCACGCCTACCTAAAACGGCTCGTTCTAACACGCCCTCATATGTCTACGTCACTAAGCGGGAATATTTACATAATGCCGCCCAAATGTTCACGCAAAAAATGGCGGCGTAACTTTTATTCTCACTGTAGTATTGTTGCTGCTGCCGCCATGTCGTGAAGTGAAAGCTTCGTTGTGAAAGCGAAACTACTTTGTTTGG